GCAATGATAATACCAACATGGGCCAGTGAAGCGACGTCCTCCACAACTAGACTGAAGAACAAAAGGACAGCAACTTGTCTGTTCCCCCTTCCCCAATACCCCAGTGCTGTTCCCCTTCCCCAATACCCCAACGCTGTTCCCCTCCCCCAATTCCCCAGTAAAATCTTAAAAAAAAAAAAAGAACATTTTAATATGGACTTGAGGGAGTGAGGCTTTCTATAAGTTTGACAAACCAAAGAACCATGAAGAAGATTGTCTCATTTTTTTTAACTTATATTGCTTGAACTTGCATTTAGCAAAAAATGAAAATTTAAAAAGAAATCAACATTTGAAAACAAAAATGGCAGTTATAAAGAGTTGCGATGCTTAAAAAGGTCACCCAAATCATTAAGAAAAAGCTGAATCGCTTCATGTAAAAAAAGGGCAAAAAATATAAATAGGTAGTTCATGTAAGAAATATAAATTGTCAGTGGTCAGTGGGAAAAGGATAATACCGTGTTAGCAAGGCTATAGGGAAATAGGTACATACAGCGTTTCTGGGAATGTGAATTGAAGTGAACTTTTCATGGATGATATGCATGTTCCTGTGATGCACAATTCAACTTAGAGTTTAGGTTCTAGGTATACGTCCACAAATGTACAAGAAGAGTACAAAGATGTTTTATGGAAGTATTACTTATAATTGAAAAAAAAGGGGGGGGAAGAACCAAGTGTCTAATGTGCATACCAAAGTGACCATAAGGTATAAAATATGATCTAATTTTCTGTACTATATGGTAATATACTCAAAACCTGAAAGAATAATACAGCAAATCGTTAACAGTGGTTATTTTTGGAGGATGACAAGATAGTGTGATTGCTTACATTTTATTTTCCTGTGTTATAGTAAACGGCTTTTTTCATAATTAAAAAAATAAAACAAAGTTGAAAATATCCTACCACTTAGTAATAACCATCACCTACATTTGATGAACATCAATCCAGATACTTTTAATACAAATATGGAGTTATAATATGCATACCATTTATAAATTGGTTGCATTTGACTGGAAGAAGAAGAAAAAACAACCAAGTCAAGTGCTATTGAAAACATGATGGAACTACATACATACAGATAGATGTTTGTCACTGCAAGAAGAAATTAATTCCTAAAGTTAAGAGAGGAAAATTAGTTTTGAGTCTCTTTTGGCAGGACCCACTGACTTATTGATATCTAGGATGAGGGAATAAACACATACATATATTCCTTCATCACTCTCTTCCCTTCTCATTATATGTGTGTGTATGTATAGTATATATGTATTTTGGTAGTCCTATTTTTTACATTATTTGATTTGTAATGTATTTGTAAAATGTTATAGCCATTCATGGCTGTTTAGTTTTAGTTATGTATTTAAATGGAGTTAGTAAATACACTGGTCTTTTCACTTTTTTTCTAGTACAGAATTCTTATTTTGATTTATTTCCCTGCAGTTACTTCAAGAAGTGCCACTTACTTATTGAATCCTTAAGTTCATACTTGTGAATGCTATTGCCTCTTCTTTTTTTTAATAAAGATTTTATTGGGGAATTGGGGGAGGGGAACAGCGTTGGGGAATCAGGGAAGGGGAACAGACAAGTTGCTGTCCTTTTCGTTCTTCAGTCTAGTTGTGGAGGACGTCTCTTCACTGACCCATGTTGGTATTATCATTGCACTCTTCCCAGATGAGGCAGATCGATTGCCGGCCTCTGGACGGCCGCTCACAGTGGCTTTTGGCAGCTCACGCTGGTTGCCGGCCACACACGGTAGCTAATGGCAGCCCACTGCAGCCTCACTGCAGCCTATGCTGTCTCCGGTGACTCATGGCAGCCCAGCTCCAGGTGGAGCTGTTGTTCACCATCTTAGCTGTAGAGGGCGCAGTGTCACTGGCCCTCCTGTGGAATCCGAACCTGGGCTCTGCTGCTCAGAGCTGGCATCCCAAGCCAACTCTTAACCAACGCGCCACTAGGCCGGCCCCAATTGCCTCTTCTTTAGGTTTCACATTCTTTGTATCACACTTTTTCTCAGAATTCTTTAGTTATCCACTCACTATTACCCGTGTTGAATGTTGCAGAGAAATCTATGGCTAACCTAGTTATATATAACCTGCCCACCGATATTTGACTTGCTTTTTCTCTGCCTGGATGACCATGATATTGTTTATTTAAAGCTCAGTGCCTCTCATTTGACTGATGTTTTAGTATTGTTTATTCTGTTCCAGTTTTTTCCTGTGTTGTGAAATATGTTTTTAACCTGCATATTTAGGTATTTATTACAGGAGAGTTTTACATATTTTATTTATGGCATTTTTATATTCTAATCTCTTCAGGAACACCAGTTGAATCTCCTGTGTTATCTTTACTCTGTTCAACTATATACTTGTTTTATCTTTTCATTTACAATATAATTTTTCAAAGTTATGACCATGATTTGTTTTTAGTTGTGTGTTTTTTCCCCCCAAATTTTTTATTTATAATGTGACAGTAACTCCTGTCTTGGTTTTTTATTTCACTTCTTTTCTGAGTCTTCTAACTTGCCATTAAGGCCTTTGTTGCATTATAATGTCTTTTTTCAGATCTTCTTTAAAAGAAATTATATTTCTGTAATTTCTTTGAGACTATTTTTCTGAAGTCCTGGGTTTTTATATGTATTATTAGGTGGTTGAAGGTGAACTTGAAATGAATTTGAATGGAGACGCTCAAGAACCTACTCATTATGCTAAGAGAAGTTTCATTGTGAGGCTATTCATGGGATTGCTGACAACAAGGGATGGTAAGAAGATACAGTAATACCTTGGTTTGTGAGCATAATTTGTTCCGGAAACAAACTACTCGTATTGCAAGACATTGCTCGTTTACCAAGTTAAAATGTATTAGAAATGTTTGTTTGTCTTGGAGAACACTCTCAATCCACGTTACTTGCAATCCAAGGTTTTACTGTAAATGTTAACTTCACTTTGAAGTTGCTGAAACCGTGGCCATGGCTGTAGGTGAATACCAAGGAAAGGAGAGCAAATTCCACCTACTGATACTTGAAGTAGAATAACTCACCTAGTTTTATTATACAGAAACAAGTACATGAGGAGATAACTGTTGGACAGTAAATAAAAGGAAACTGATTTTTGAAAATTTTGTATACAGAAACCTTAATTTAATTTGAGCAATACTTAAGAAAATCAGGATGAAATAAAGTGGTTAATGATTCTCACCCTCAGTTGGTGGCAGTAGGAATAGACTCCCCCATTCACCAACCCACCTTGAGGGTGGTCATACCCCACCATCCCTGCTGAGAACCATTTGTGTCCCCTGTGTAACATGCTAAAGGGTAAAAGGAAAGTTGAAAACCACTGCTATAAGGTATTGGAGGGAAAAGTGACTAGAGACCAACTGGGATGTGAGCTTTTAAAACTATGAGTCTTTGAATGCAGAAAAAAGTACTCTTAGTTGGAAGTGACAGGAATTGAACTAGAATAAATTTAGACAAAAAAGGAAATTTGACTCTTAACCAACTCTGTGGGGGCCGGCAAGATTGGTACCAGGTGTAAAAAATTAGAATTCTGTTATGATCTCTCCTCTTGTTTCCTGCTTTGCTTATTTAATTCCATTCTAGCTTCATTGTCACAAACCAATGTTCTCTTTGAGATTTGACCTGTGGCTGTTGTTAGCTCTTGGGCTTTTAAAAGACAGCATCCCCATGGATTGGGACTCTCTTTCTTCTTTAATTCCAGTTTGAAAAATCATCTGATACAAAATAGCCACAGGGATGTAAAGTACAGCATAGGGAATGTAGTAATAATATGATAATAACTATGTGTAGTTTCAGGTGGGGGTACTAGACTAATTGGGATCATCAGTTCATAAATTATATAAATGTCTAGCTGCTATGCTCTATACCTGAAACTAATATGATAATATATTTTCTTTTTTAAAAGATTTTTATTGGGGGAATTGGGGGATGGGAACAGCGCTGGGGAATTGGGGGAAGGGGAACAGACAAGTTTCTGTCTTTTTTGTTCTTCAGTCTAGTTGTGGAGGATGTTGCTTCACTGGCCCAAGTTGGCACCATCATTGCGCTCTTCCCGGGTGAGGCAGATCAATCACCGGCTTCTAGACGGCCGCTCACGCTGGCTGTTGGCCACTCACGCTGGCTGCTGGCTACACACGTAGCCCATGGCAATCCACTGCAGCAGGGGCTGCAGCCTACGCCGCCACCGGAGACTCACGGCAGCCCAGTTCCAGGTTGAGCTGTTGTTCAGCATCTTAGCTGTAGAGGGCAGTGTCACTGGCCCTCATATGTGGGATCCGAACCGGGGCCCTCTGGGGTCCCAAACCAGCTCTTAACCAATGTGCCACACGGCTGGCCCTAATAAGGTAATATTGAATGTCAATGGTAATTGAAAAAACAAAAAAAGAAAAAGAAAAATCCTCTGGAACATCTTCATCCTGGCTTGTATCAGGTATTCATTCACTCATTCTTATGGCCCGGGGGGTTTGGACCTTGTTTGGCAGCTCCTACTAGAAACAAATAGTTGGATATGATGTTTGGGGGTCCATAGTATTTTTCAAAAGAACTGTTTAAGGTATGGCTTTTGTTCTCGAGTTTCTAAAGGATACTGACTTTATTTCTTTCCTTTCATACCCTGTATTCTAATGAGCAATTTTAAAGGAAGAAAATAGACAACTTACATTTATTATACTCTGAGGTAAAGAACCTTTCATGTATACAGTACCTCTCGTCTGTCTTGCAAACATAGGTTTTACCATACTTTACTGATAAGGAAAATGAGACTCAAAAAAAATTGTCTAATTTAAGATGATAAGGCCAGTGAGAGAGTTGGCACCCAAACCCTGGCGTAAAGTAATACCACGCTCTTGCCATAAGTTATGTTCCAAATTTTCTACTGTGAAATAAAATTCAGAATTCCCCCAGAATCTCGTATTCATCAAATTTATTTTTAAAAAATAGATGAGATCACAAGTAGGTTGAAGTTTATGTAAAAACCATACACTGTAGCGTCCAGGCATAACCATTTCTGGACCGAGGAGTTCCTGCTGTAGCAAATCTTGGCAGAAGTGTACGATGATCCCCCTGTATTTAATCTAAGCACAAGTAACACCGTAGTTAGGTCTTAATGTGAAAGAACCCTTAGATAAGTGTTTGAAGAGGGTACAAGCAGGGTGAAGTATTGCAGGCAGCAGAACTTCCGTGTTATTTTAGGAACGTGGTCCAGAATTCTCCCAAGCAAATCTTTCCGAAGATATTGGCAAAATCTTTGCAAAGTATGATCTCTGACCTTTTTGGCTTGTCTGTTCTTTTTTCCTTTTGTTCTTGAAGCATGGTATAAGAAATTCATCTGGGTTGCAATGTTTTGAATTAGGAAATCAGCTAGCCCTAGCTAGCCCTAGCCCTAGCCCTAGCCCATGGCATGATGTAAAGAAAAAAAATACCAATTTTAAGCAAACTTTAAAGTTTACCACAAATCTGCAAAGATGATTACATTGATGCATCTTAAGATCTATGAGGAAATAAAGTAAACTTTTGCAGTTGTATGCTGATACATTACTTTTTAAAATACTGATTAATTAATGGAAGCTTGCAGGAAAGAAATGTTTTCCCTATTCTGGTGACTGGGTTTGTGATGATTTATATGTTTTAAAGTACTATGACAATTTATTCCTCTGATAATAAGGTAAATTATTTTGACAAACCATCTCAATACTTTGGAGGAGTAATTAGATAGTGTCTCAATAAGAGGTTCTATCTCTGATTTCAGAATTTCAAAATGAAGCTGGTGTAAAAATAGTCACTTTACAGAAATGCACCTTACAGCCAGCTGCGTGTTATATAAATAAACTTGACAGGAATGCACATTCCTGGAGCGGGAGACTACAACTACCCAGACACAAAGGAAAACCAGTGGCAGGCTATAAATAATCAGCTTGTATTTGGCTTTGTAGCTGTTAGACTTAGTCAGCCATTGGTCTTGGCAAAGTATATTTACAGTTAAAGTAGCTTATTTCCTTCATAGTCAAGTATAAAATGACAGTATATTTGGGTCTTTGAATGTTGTTGTTCTGAGATCTCATATTTTTGCTGAGGATTAATAAAGGTCTATTTTCACATGATTGACAAAATATTATGAAACTTTTAGATTATGTTAAATTGCTTTTTTAGCATTATTTAAAAAAAAACTTTTATTGAGAAAAATTTTAAACATATAATAATACCAAAGTAGACTGATCGGTATAATGACTCTCCATGTACTCAATTAGCCTCCGTGGTGGTTCGGTCATAACCAGCCTTGTTTTATCTAGCTCTACCCTCATACAATTTTGAAGCCCATCCCAAACATCACCATCATTTGTCTGTAAATATTGCAGTATTTCTAAATATTTATAAACCTTTTAAAATGGAGGTAAAAACCACATTAACATTACCACACTTAAAAAAAATAATAATTTAATATTATTATATTAATGTCTTAATATTTAGTCAGCCTTCAGGTTTTCGCTTGTGTCAGACTTTTTTAAAAGATTTTATTGGGGAATTGGGGGAAGGGGAACAGACAAGTTGCTGTCCTTTTGTTCTTCAGTCTAGTTGTGGAGGACGTCGCTTCACTGGCCCAAGTTGGCACCATCATTGTGCTCTTCCCGGGCGAGGCAGATCAGTCACTGGCTTCTGGACGCCGCTCACGCTGGCTGCTGGCTACATATGGTATCCCATGGCAACCCACTGCCACAGGGACTGCAGCCCACGCCTTTGCCGGCGACTCACGGCAGCCCAGCTCCAGGTTGAGCTGTTGTTCAGCATCTTAGCTGTAGAGGGCAGTGTCACTGGCCCTCATATGTGGGATCCGAACTGGGGCCCTCTGGGGTCCCAAGCCAGCTCTTAACCAATGCGCCACTCGGCAGGCCCTGTCAGACTTTTTTATAAAGTTTGAATTCAGTCTTCTCTTTTGTTCCCCTTGCAGTGTACTTATTGAGGATTCCAGGCCGTGTCCTTCAGAATTACTGCAGTGTAGATTTTGCTGATTGTGTCCCATAGATGTCCTTAAACATATTTTTATGTCTGTGTTTTCTGTAAATTGGTAATTGTGTCTGGTGGCTTGATGAGGTTCGGGTTTGTGAGTCAGGTGAGATCACCTCATATAAGCAGTGGTTTGATTGTTTATCAGGAGACATAATGTCTGGTTGTCTTTTTTTTGAATGCCTAGATTAAGATGACAATATGTAAATGTTACAAATAGTTTTCCTTTTTTAACTGCACTATTTCTGTAGAGTGAGAGATACTTCATTTGATCAAGTGGTAGTTACTGTTTGATTGCTTGGTAATCTAATTTGTATAAAAAAGGAAGAAAAGAATTTGATTCATTTGCTTTTTTTATTGGTTTTCAAAATAACAGAATGGTTTACTAGCATCCTGTAATGGTGACCAATTAGTTTGTTTTCTATATCACTGTTTATAAGCTTGTGGACTGAAACATAAATATGTTTATTAACTATTGATACTCAAATTGCCTCCATATTTGTCCAGTGGAGCCCCTTGAAGTTGGCTGAGTCTTTTAAAGAAGACCATGGTATTATTTGATAGCGTTTTAAAAAAATCTGGTACGTATGAGATGAACTTACAGCATTTCCTGCCCCAGACCTGGAACCAGCCATTTCTCTGAAGAGCCCTGGTCCCTTTAAGGGTTAATCATGTTTGGAGACCATCTATTGGGCACTAGGCATGCTCATTGCTACAGGGTTGGTTATTCTTTCTAAGACTGTTTT